TGGATAGTCAAGATTCTAGAAGAAAGATGAAAAGTTACCCAAAATGAATCCCAATTTTGATTTCTACAAACTTCTATAGACTGGGATAAAAATTTGATGTCATAATCAAAGTTCTCAATCCTTTAGCTTTAATTTCATTTAAGCCACCAAAAATACAGGCTTCTAGTATCCCTCCCATTCAGAGAGCTTAAAATTCCCATAACTCCTTAATTAAGGCCTAGGTTTGGAAATATTTCTAATGAATTTACAGATGCAATATTTTCTGCTCTAATTCCAGTGTGTTTACATAGGCTTATAGCAGATACCTATATCTGCATATGTATATATATCAATTTTACTGTTACATAATTTTTTTAAATTGAATTCACTTCCCTAAACCAAGTAAAAGCTCATGATGTAATTATAATTCAACTTTGGTACAGAGAAAAAAAATTAAAGCCTCATGATACCTAAAAATATTACAATGAGAAAAATAATCATTTTATCTTGTGTTAAGGGCTGAATTGTGTTCCCTCCTCCCAAACAAAAAAGTTACCCTCTCCACTCACTCCACTACTTAAAAATGTATTTGGAGATAGTCTTCAGAGGTAATTAAGTGAGGTTATTAGGGCAGGCCCTAACACAATATGACAATTGTCTTTATAAGAGATTAGGACACAGACGTGCACAAGGGAAGACCATGTGAAAACAGAGGGAGAAGATGGCCCCAATAAACGCCAAGGAGAGAGGCCCTCAGAAGAGCAAATCCTGCCAACACCTTGATTCAGCCTTCACATCATTTGTGATCATCCTCCAAATTTATTTGTGAGGAAATAAATTTCCATTGTTTAAGCCATGTAGTCTGTGGTACTTTATTATGACAGCCCTAGCAAACTAATGCATCCCTTTTTCAAATACACCTTTCTCACTGAAGTTTATAGCATCTCATGCCAGTTTCAGTTTTATGGGAAACTGCCTGAAGGTCTCTGGCAAAGCTTCTTTCCACAAAGATAATACAAATAAGGGGCCCATTTCTGAATTATGGAATATTTTGAAAACAGAAGTTATTGTATACTCACTTCTTAAAGACTTTTAAATACTAGCTACAGTGTAGCTTTTTATTTGGAAATTTTCTATTTCTTTCCATATGTAAAAAACATGTCCTTGAAAGCTTAACACAGCTGTCTCTATTTTTTTAAAAAAACATTGCCAAGATGAAATTTTCTGAATACAATGCTTTGAGTCGTGAAAATATTTTGATGGGCACCAAATTCTAATGTGTAGTAAAGAGAAACAACCTTTTGGAATCCAAACTTAATAAAGTTACTCTTTTTCCAATATCTACATGACTAAAGCATAAAATTTGGCTCTTGATTTTAATTTTATCACATGTGTGGCAAAACCATAATGTTTTAACAACAGTGAAGAGGAGCTTCTTAGGTGACTTGCAAATATTGAGGGCCAGATAAAAATATAAAAAATAGTAATTGGAAAAGGAGACTAAGAAGATTTCAGACTAATTTTCATTGTTTTCTCTGTTGATTAATGACAAAGGCAAATATCATAAACGAATAGATGCACTGAATAAACAGTTCTGGAACTCTAAAGCTCGGAGGAAAACAAGCCACAAGAGTAAGGTGTGTGTTTTGCTTTTAAGAATACTAATATTGTTGAGATTACATAGCAATTGTATGTATTACAGCCCTATGAGGGCTGTATTGCTTAAAGAAATACAAACTTTCTGAGGTCTTAGCTAGTATCCCTCAGAAGAGTGCAAATTAAGTTTTTAAACCAACCATCTCTTCCAGTATAATAAAGTCAAATATAGATTTGAATTTAATGTGCAAACAACCAAGAATTTTGTTCAGGAAACAACTTCCAAAACCAGAGAATTAAGTTCTTTAAAGTGCTACCTTTAAAAAATGTTTACAAATAAGAGGAGCTATTATTAGGCAACATTAGAGAAACAAATTATCCTTAAGAAAATGTGTCTTATGAGAAAAAAAGTAAAGCTAAAGGGTATTTAAGATACCTGAGATGTTCAGAACCCATGCAAGCATTAACCACCATAATGCAAAAAGATGTAGAAATATTTTCCAAATGGTAATATTAAAGAGTGAGGGAGTGGAAGAAAACAACAATTTTGGCCCTGAGCTATGAACATCCTGCTAGGCATTCCAACAAGATTTATTATATTTCTACTACAACTTCTTTAAAAAGTACAATGCAGAACAGCTTTCTAGTAACTAACAATTGATAGTATAATGGCTAAGAGCACGGGCTCCAGAGCCAGTCTCCCTAACTCCCAGAACTTGCTTCCAGAGTTACATCTCTGGCTCTGCCCATACTAAGCTGTGTGACCCTGGACGAGTCACTGAGCCGCTCGCTACATCAGTGTGCTCTGCCAGCCAGAGACAGTAACAGAACCATCTCAGCGGATGGTTGTGTTAAATGGGTTTTTCCATGTGAAACCTTAGCGTGGTGCTTGTAACTTGGTAACTGGCAGCAGCTGTGACAGAAGAGCAATTAAAAAACCAGTCACACCCAGAACACACAGGGCACAATAAAATGGTGAAGTCAGACTGAACCAACCAATGTGAATTTCAATCTGGGTGACAGCTAAACACATTCAAGAATTTTATTTACACACAATTATTCCCATAGGGCTTACTGTGCCAGAAATTCAAAGTTTCTGAGCTGGTCATCTGCACATGGTACCAGATCAGACAAGAGAGCAGACTATTCTTTAAGGAGCTGACTGAAAACAGCTGACCTCAGAGTCCAAGGATGACATCTGCAGCACAGCATTAATCAAACACTGTTCAAGGTACTTAATCAAAACACCAGCCGAGAACATTACAGGCAAATTTTGTTAGCCAGAATATTGTGAGCCGTGGGTCCACATTAGGAGTCACTGACGACCACTAGCCCAAAGAGCCAGCAGCCAGCATGACCTCAGGGGACACTCGTGGCGTGCGTCCTGATTCCAGCTCAAAGACTTGTTCCCTCTCCACCAGCACGCGCTGGGCCTGCTTCCTCCAGCCCTGCGCCGCCCAGAGTACACGTGGAGAGCAGAGTCTAGCAGGGACCCTCAGCGGCTGGCTGTGCTGCTCTCAACTGGAGGAGCCGTGGAAGCTCCAGAGTGCTTGGAACACCTTGATTTGGCCCTGACAACCCTCTTAAGAATATATACCCAGTTTTCATTCCACTTACTTATCATCTCCCTTTCCCTCCTCCAGAAACTGCATATCTCATTTAAGTAAACAAACATAAATAGGGTTTTTGACTAGTTGCAAAACTCCAGTGCTGAACAGCACATGCGGCATTTCTGATCTAACCCTTACACACAACAGGATGTTCCTGAGAGATTTAGGCCAAAGGTGATTTTCCTCTCTTCTGTCCATGTCCTGAGTGTCCTTGGCCTACACTGGACACAGTATTTGAGCCATAAGTACATTTTCTCTGCATTTCCCTTGGCTACACTTAATTCCTTACATGTGGAGAGATGGGTTTTGTGTATAATCACTGTTTATTTCCTTAGCACATTTTCTATCTCCTGCAAGTGCACTGCCAAATGTTTAAAAGCTTTCTACTTTGAAGCACAAGTCAACAGAAAAGATGAGAGATATACAGAAAGGGAGACATACTTATTTTAAACAAAAGCTGAATGTGGTTTAACTCAAACTGAGTTTTTGAGTTATACCAAAGCGAGTATGCAAAACCACACTGACAAGAACATATAAAGCACTGTAAACAGCGACTTAATGAATCAGCACAACACAGCACCATGTACGCAGAAAACACATTATGCAATGTGGTCTCCATAGTGCTGAAGTTACAAGATAATACATTAAAGGAGTTGTTTCCTAAATGCTGCCTATTTTTTTAAATCCCAGTTAATTATCCAAGTGTATTTTTGCCTGTTGTATTTGAAGAGTAATTGAAATGTTGCTTTAAAGAACTACCTCATTCTCTCCTATATGCTGACAAGGAGTAAGAATGTTTTATCAGTGACTAAATAATGTAGAGCATTATCGACTCCTGAGAATCAACAGCTTTTGGATTAGTAATAAATCAACCTTCAGGCAGTGTCAGAATTATTCCTCTCTAATTTGGAGAAGCTAAATGCCTTTACATTTTTTTCATTGCTGAAAAATTATCCTGACAAACTAAGAATATATATTAAGCATGGAAACAAATCTGTGTCCAGTACTGAAGATCTCTTTACTATGGCTTATTTTATGTTTCTGAAACATTTTGCTGTGGGTGATTTATTTCACATCCATGTGGCCAGCCATTTGTTTATTCTATTGCATGCCATCTGTTTTTCGGGGGAGAGGTTTCAAGTTCTTCTCATTCTCTACCTCATATCCCACAGAAAACAATTTATAATAGACAAAGATTTAAATCACTTGGATTCATGTGGAGTTCGTAACTCGAGCTGCCTTTCATTTATATTTGGCAAATGCTTTAATGGGATTAGCAAATTGTGTTATTACGAGGTACTTATGGAGATACAACACCTTTTTTTTTTACAATGACAAATGATGTTAGCAGTTTCATTTTTGGGTATTTAATAGCAGTACAGAAAACTTCACTAATGTTGCAGAAAATTGCCCTGATAGACAATAAAGTCCGGCCACAAACCCTGTCCATATCTTTATTTCTAAGAGGCAGGAAGTATATGTATCAGCATGTGGTCGGGTCCCACAGTGAGGAATAAATATCAAGTTGTCCCACTTTTGAGGAAAAGTTAGTATTTAACCCACAGACATGAAAACCCCATCTGGTCATGTATCTTGGCATCTTCTGAACCCTCCAAACACAGTCTGCCTTGTCTAGATGCTGACAAGTGATGGCTCCAGACTTTCACAAAGAAAAGTTTATGCCATTGACTCCAACTTAGCAACACCAATTTATTCCCATTCTAGGGCCCACTTTGATTTGCTCTAAAGAGCCAACCATTCAGAGAAACTGCTTCTTGTTGAGACTACACAGATGATGTTTAAAGTATTAATTACCATTTTTACAAGACTCCTTGTTGCTTTGATGGAGAGGGGGTATCTGATGACAGGACCCAGCGGCTGCCCACAGTTCATGGTTGACATCCCTGGACTGAGAAACGTTCATCTTGAGGTCAGCTCGATTTTCACCAGTCCTTCCTGAATCAGAATTAGATAGCCTTGGGGGGTAAGCAGCATCCTCATGGACACCTGATGGAGTCGGTCTGGTGAAAGTGTTAAGTGACATCTGTACTAAAGCTTCATTGATGAAGAATGAATTTTCACGACATAAACTCTCAGATTGATTAAGTTCCATTACCTGTGTAAGAAAATAGAGAAAAATATACAATTATTCCTCTAGCAATTTGCATGTTTCATAAAGTATTTATTCCAAATAGAATTTAGCCATTAAATTTTAATAAGAGAGAAGTCAAAAAGAACATTACCCTTGACCCCTCCCTCTCATCCTCTCTTACTGTGCTAGGACTAAAACCTCAATTTGCTAGGCACAGCATATTTTAGGAAAAAACAAACGAAGCCAAGCAGTAGTGCTTTCTCCATTAAAACTAAAGTTTCCACTTTGAGAGCAGCACTTTCATTTTTGCTAAATAAAGTGAAAAATAAGTTCATTTATACATGAGGTATTTGCAACAAATATAATTTAGCCAACTTGAAAGGAAAATCAGATGCAACACTGATCTCTCTTATAAGTTTATCAATGCTTATACCTTTATACACTATCAATAAAAAGCACATACGTGCACATAGACCAGAAAAGTAAGCTCCTGGGACAAACGGAATTTGTCTAGCGTGGTTAGAGAGGTTGCAAATGGAGCACAGAATCTTTGGGAAGGTTTCATCCTCCCCAGTCATTAATTAGTATACTCATGTTAACTATTGTTAGTGAAATAGGTTTTAAATGTACTATGTCAAATTCACCAAAAAAAGAATCCTGGAAAACAGTAGTACTGTACTTGCTAACTTTAGTACCTATAATGCACATTATTAGCTACTTGGCCAACTAAAAGCATATCTATACAGAACTTTGAATACTGCATCATTAAAGAGGGTCCTTTACAGGAAAGCCAGCATTGCTCCTGGCGCGTGCCTCCAGGAAAAACCTCTCCTTATTGAGACAATTCAATCCTGTTTCATCCCTTGGGTAAGGATGTTTCACAATACAATGTGCCTACAATCTAATAGGATCTGGGTCTTTCAAATTTCAAGTAAGATGCATATGCGTTGTCGGTGAAGTTTCTCAGCTTCTGCTACATATGGAGCACCTCTTGTGGGCTCTTACACAAGCTGCGAAAGGACGAACTCCTGGTCCACGTCCTGACCACGACTGAACCCGTCCTTAAGACGCTGCCTTACACGCTGCGTCTGCGAGCCCGGAAGCCCCGTACCTCTGTGCTTCCTGGAGGAAACGCCGCCGGAAGGCTACTCTGCCGGCTGTGTTTCCGGCCGCACAGCGGGCTCTGCTGGGCCAGCATCCTCTCCCTCTGCCTCTCCACCAGGCGCTGGCCCTCCCTCAGCCGCTCCAGGTTCTGCTGGTACTCCTGGAGCTGCTGGGCCAGCTTCCCACGCCTCCTCAGCAGCATCTCCTCCTGCGACTGGCACGCGCTCTCTCGCTCCTGCAGCCAGCTCGCCTTGTCCTCCTGCTCCCGCTGCAGCTGGTCGCACCTGCGGTGCCAGCGCCGCTGGTCCTGCTGGAACTGGTGCTGGAGCTTGTGGATGTTGGCCAGCTCCTCCCGCCGCTTGTCCAGGTTGCGGCACCTCTCCTGGTCCCGAAAAAGGCTGCCTCGGAAGGAGGGGAGCGGGGGCAGGCTCTCCTGCTGCCGGAGGAGCAACTTGTGGATCTCCATGTGGCTATCCTGAATGGTCAAGGCGGCCTACCAGAGCAGAAGTGGGGAGAAACATCAAGGCTTCCACGTGATTGTGCTTTGGCTTGGAACTACCTCTAAACCCAAAAAGCATGACCAAATTACTTTCTCTTAATATCTCTGCCCTTTTTTAAGTTACCTCCAAAGACTAAACTTGCCACCTAGAATAAATAGGCTTATCCACATTTCCTGGCCAGAAGGGCTTGGGAATTTATATACCAAAGAAATAAAACACAAAAGCATTACTCAGGCCCTCTTTCGAGTTGTGGTCCATTGTTGGTTGTTGGATAATATTTAAGCAAGTCTTCATAAATTTGTAAGACTGATTCCTATGCTTGTCATTCTCTTTCTGAGGTCTCTTCAGTCAATAAATAGTTCATGAGAATTGAAGGATCTATGTAAACATAGTAGTATCCTTTGAGTTCCAAACAGGAAATTACTTCAGCTACATTAAAGGAGATAAAACTAAATCACTTAGAAACTTTTGGTAAATAATCATTTTATAATATAATGTCCAAGAATATAATAGCAGTTAATAACATATTTAGGAGATACATAGGTACTAACGCTACTCTTGTTACTATTATTTCTTTGTATTATAGCAGGAAGGTCATGCAAAAAACACTTGAGCTGAATTCATTTGTTCAATAGATTGCTAACAAGAGGCTGGATGGTTAAGGGAACACAGATACTCTCAAGCTCAGAGGACATTACCAGCCAAACTAAAAAAACATTTTGAGTTACAGTATCTGCCTGTGAAAAGTTTGGTAGCATCACAGGAAATAATTGCAAAGATTTGGAAAGATTCCAAAAATGACAAAATTTTCTGTGAATGCCCTTGGAAGCTTTCAATTTTAAAAATTCTCATTTAAAGCACAAAGAAGCACAGAGGGGACAAACTGAAAATGGCTACATACTGGGTTTGTGTGTATGTTTTGACTCATTGTGAAAAATTATTACTCTCCTAGGGATAAATTCAGATTTTTCTTTCCTAAGAATTTTAAAAACTGTACACACAGTAGATGCTGGGAAGATGGGGATTTGACCATTAGTTCTTTGTTAGATTAGCAGTTTCTGAAACTTAAGAAGATTAAAGAACTAAGATATATTTTAAATGGGTCCTTGTCTTGGAATAAGACTAAAAAATGTATTCATTAGGACCTTTTGAAATAAAAATTGTTCTTAAATTTGAAAAAATTTTTAATTTCAAATTCACAGGAATATTTGATTGTCTTTTAGAAATTGTTAAGAGAACAATGATTATCATTGAGACTAGGTACTAATTACTTTGCTCTTTAAATATGAAATAATTAGTGAATAATAAACCATTCAGGACGCTGCTGACTTGGCTACAGCAAATTGTAGACTACATCATCACTTAATTCTGACAAATCCTAAGGGCATCACTATGTCAAAACAAATAAAAATCCAATATTTTATATGCAGAAACTACCACAATGACAACTCTCATGAAAGGGTCACACTGGACTAATTAAGCACAACCATGAAGTATTCTTCATGGCTACTTAACACTTGGAATGAGACTATTCTCTAGTACAGAGGTAGAATTTGAGGATTGGATATTCATTTATATTTAGAGTTTATACTTAGGACAGAAAACAGCCCTTCCTTTTCAAGTTTAGAGAAATTCCCAATTCACTCTCTTTTCTTCACTAAAATGACTCTGTGTCCTTTCCTTTTTGACCTTTCTATGTCTCATCTCTAATTCTGCTCTCCAAATACAGGGACCAAATTTCATTTTCATCTGATTCAAAAATGTTCATGTAAAAACTTCAATCATGCATAAGAGATTCAGCTTCAAAAGAGATAACTGTGCCATAAAAAGAAATCCTTCAGAGCCCATATCCTCAGACCAGCTCAAAAGCTTTGGTAAAAAGAACCCACTATAGACTTTAATATTTCCCATGTTGCTTCAATCTAGTGTGAAGCAAAAAATTGGGTCATTTAGGTCAGCTTTTCTGACCCTTGAATCCACTTAGGACTGCATTCAAGGTTGAAAAGAAGAGATATGATCTTGTGAGTGTTTTCATCAGACAATACAAGCTGGGATACTCAATGCTTTACTCTCCCCAAAGTTCATAAACCATCATCAACCTATATTCCTTCTCACTTAATGTTTAAAATAAAGAATATATGTTTTACATGGCAATTCAATCTTTAAAAACATCAATCCTAGGCCAGTATTATCTAATGTAAGACACTAAAGGTATTCCCTCTAAGCCTTGAGCAAGACAAGGATGCTTACTTACTATTACCACTATTCTTTAATACATTGCCAGAAGTTCTAGTCAAAAAGCCAAGAAAAGCATGTTTATATAATTATTTCAGAAGAGCCATCATACCATTATTTTCAAATTTTTACTTTCCACCTGGAATCAACTAAACAACTATAAGAACAACAAAAAAATATTTATCTAAAATAAAGTAAGAAATGACTAACAACATGCTCTCAGACAAGAGGACTAATTATTGCAAAAGTGACAATTCTCTCCAATTTAATTCATAAGTGATATTTTAACTTAACAGTCTTGGTAGGAGGGTAAGAAACTTGTCAGAGTAATTCAAAAGCTCTTATGAAAGGAGACATAGATATGCATATAAAAATAGTAAGAGGAGACTAGTGCTATCATTTACTCAAATGTAATGCAAAACTTTAATAAAAATACTGGTACTAGAGCAAGAATAGGCAGATGCTTAATAGTACGTAAGTGAAAGAAGTTGATGCAGTTGAATTATAAATAAAATATCAAATATAGCATGACTTTGTATTTTTTTCAGAAGAAAACAAAGTCAGACTTAAATTTATTTTCTTTTACTATTCAACAGATATTCAATATGAAGTATGAATGGCTAATAATAATCCAATGGGAGGAGTAAAGTTTAGATTCAACAGTAATCAGAGAAATGCAAATTCAGATAATCAGATACCTTGACCCATTTTCAAATTAAGGAGAAAGGGATGCTGATTGATTTTCACAATTTCTACTTGAAACCTAAAAAAATAATTCTAGCAATTTATCCCAAGGAAACACTCAGATATGTTCAAAGAGGTTAGTGTACAAGGCTTTCTACCAGATTTGTCAATACAAAAGTGCAACTATGAGGAACTGGATAAATTCCATAGACATGAATATTATACAACACAATTATATATTGTGCTATAGAATAATAGCTGATGACATAGAAAGGTACATGTTGCAGAAAAGGATATATAAAATGATTCTAAAACACTGGAGGGATATACACCAACATGATAATAGTAATTCTCTCCGTAGAATCATGTCTTTTTATTTACTTATAACCTCAAATTTTTCTACAAATTTGTCTACATTGTTTTTATATCATTTTAGAATATATTTTAATCCATGAATTAAGCAAGTGAAGATATTCATCCTTTCTTGTGCATGACCTAAGGGTTCATCCAACCCTATAATCCTAAATGCAAGCATGATTTTTATGCCTATCTTTTCCTGAAAGACAGCGAGCCATTTGACAGTAGGGTTTCTGGTCCATCTGCCTTTGTGTGCTCAGCCCTCAGCAGAGTGCTTGGCACAGAGAGGGCACTCAATAAATGTTGGGTAGATGAACAAAGAAAACAATGAAGGTGCTCAAGACTTATTTAAGTGCTCCAAAGGCCTAAGGCCACATGTGGAAGTGAAAAAACTTCAGGTGTGAATTTAAGTTTTCACCAGGAAATGTGAAGTCATGCTACACTTACCTAAAAGTTTCACTGTAAACTTCAAGCCAGATCATATTCATCAATATTTTTTTAAAGATATGAACTGTTTTATGGTTTCAGAGAAGAAGGGTATAAAATTTAGTAGTGGTGTTGCCTCGTGATTACAAAACCAGGTAAAGTTCAACACATCGAGTTCAACACTTGGGGGGGTGGCGTTCTTTTAAGATCATTCACTACCTCCCAAATGTTCTAATTTTTAAAGTCTGGGAATCATCAAATACAATGAATTGCATTTAATAGAAACATTTACAAGGTTAAAGATTAGAGGAGCATAGTTACCTGAAGGCTATATAGGAGACGGGTTAAATTCTGTATCGCTTGTATAATCTGAAAAATAAGATTATAAATTAAATTCTTGAAATAAGATTCATTATCCACAAATAGAAGATGGTGATATATTTAAGGCATGCATAGCTCACCTCTGACTGTGAAGAACCTGGAAAACTTCTATATTCCACCTAAAATACATAAAAACATAAGAAAATGAATAACTACTACACTTTTGTTCCAAAATCTATGACTTCAGATAAATCACTTCACTCTCTCTAAACTCTTCTACAGTGGCTCTGTTTCATCCCAGAAATCAAAGCACAAAAAATAAACCAACCATTTGATGAGGGGCCCCTCTGTGCAAACTCGTGTTTGAAATGCATGACAATTTCTCACCCAACCATCCCTGAAACAAGGGATTATGATGGTAAGAAGGCACTGCAAACTCTGACAATATTTACCTGTGCAAACCACACAGTAAACTGGGTTCTATGTGCCCAGGCTGAAGTGTGTCTCTTGGGCTAGGCTGGCCTATTGCATCCTGGAGGCCAGATTTGGAAGCTAGAGAACATCATGCCTGAATTCTAGCTGTCTCAATGTTTGAGATGCACACAGCTAAAATAGCCAGTGGTTGGGAGAAGAAACCGAACCCAGAAGTGGCCCAAAGGGGAGTGCTTAACTGGCCCGCTCCAGACCCGACCACACTCAGCTCCCTGGAGCCAACCCTGACTGCTATGGGAGATCACATTCCCTATGCTCCAAGAACCTACAGTCTCCTGTACACTGGAGACTTACTCTTGCTCTTGTCTGAGCAGCTTTAAATTGAAACCACAAAAAACAGTCAGCTGTGGTAATAATCTCTGGTACCTTAAATGCTGTTAAATTTAATTAGCCCAGGCTGACGATGCCACAATGAGCTGGCCAGACCTCTTCTTCCCACCCCTTCTCCCCCCTGAATCCTGCCATGAAAGATTTCACTACTAAGCACGCAGCACCTCTAACAGGGGAAGGACAAAGGACAGAAAAACAGATGAAGTGTAGAGTGATCAGATCTGTGCACCCAACACTTGGGTAGATAACAGGGCTAAGATCCTGTGTTCTAAAGTGATTTTTAGAGTCCTCTCTGTTCTTCTGGTTCTGTCCCTGCTCCACACTCCACTGCTTTTGTAATAAAATATGCTATAGAATTTTTATGTTCTATAAAAATCAGAAACACAAAAGTGAGTCGGTCATACTGCACATGGTCACTTGTTTCCAAGAACCACACTAGGTCTGACACAAAGTATGTTTAATGGAGTTTGCCCGCCGCCTTGTGGTAAATGTGCATAGCTGCAGCTGGTGATTTAGGATATTTTGCCATTTGGGTTACAAATTTTTTTAATTCCTTTAGAAAGGCTTTTTAAAAAATCTATTAGCCTTACCTTATTAAGGAAGTTAATCACAACATTTCCATTATTCTCTCTTAAAAGTTTGATTTCAAGTGATCCTTCCTACAAGTTAATTTATTTTCTCAAAATGCCTTATTAAAAAATTTCCAGATAGGTTCATCCAAAGAGGAACCTGGGCACCTAATCTAACGTATGTGTGACTGAATCATGGCAAGAAAAAAGACCTTGAGATGGGAGCCACTGCAGCTTTCCATTCAAGAGAAAACTGTTACTAGCCAGCCTACCTGGCCTCCCTCCTTCCCCCTAATAAGATAAAAGCTGTTGGAAGCTGTAGACTTAAAAGTGAGTCTAGACTGAAAAGGAGGCAAAGCAGGAATGTTTTAAGAAATGTTAGAAAGCTCCAGTCAGAATAAGTGCAGTAAAACAATGCATTCCTGTTTTCATTTTGGCCTGTGACATTTATAAAAGAAAACACTGAGCAGGAGACATCTTTTCTATGGATTTTTAAGTCTTTGAACTTGGTTTTTCAGTCATAATATGTAATATATAAATATATATTGTATGAAATATGTAATATATAAGATGCTAAATACATAGAGATCTGACATAAGCCATTTATCCACATTAGCGCACATTGGTATCTGGTAATGTGCTTAATTCTATTTTAAATTAAGCTAAAACTCTTGAGCCCCAGACAATTCTGGGAAGACCGACTAGCCACCTCCCAGAATCATATTCTTATTTCCTATTTCTGGGTTTCATTTGAAGTTAATGGGAAGTTAAGTTGAATTTTTTAAAGAGAGTACTTAATTTTAAAACATGCATTTTGTAAAGAGTATTATAATCTATATGTATACCTCATCAAAATAGAAGAGGTGTTTGGAACCACTTTACCCCAACCAAAAATTGGTCTGGTTGGTTAAAAGTGTACCACAAAAATGTAGGTGACAACGTGGGCGGTGACAACAGAAAAATCTGCAAGGAGAGGAAGGTAAAAAGAAAGTTAAAGAATCAAAAATAGTCCGTCAAAATTATTTCTGCCACTTTAGCGCCACCTGGTGGCCTAACAGCCCCAACTGATGTCCGGAAACACCTCTGGGCCCAGAGTTGCTCAATGTAGTGCATGAAAAGCTAGAGGCTTGCAGTGCAGAAAGTGAAAGCGAGACTGGAAGAAAGAGCACAGACACGGGTAAACATTCGAGTTGTAAATCTTTTTAATAACTGTCCAATCGTTTCTTTGTTTACACCTACATGATATAGGAAGAGCAAGGACATTTAAACGTAGAAGTTAGAAAGCTTAAATATGAATATAGAAATTGAGAACAAATCAGGAAACACTTTCATACTACTCACTGCCATGGGCTTACCAGGACCTGAGCTTATTTTATTACACAAAGTAACTGGTGCCATTGACTAACAAATCAGTTCACAATACCTTCTCCCCTGCATCAGAGACCGCCAAGTTGGTTCCCACACCCTGGATCCCGGGATCCACATCCCAACAGCCTCTTCCTCCTGTCCCTTCTGTGACTAGTGCTGGAAGCACACCATTGAGATAGAAACAAAAAGGACATCATCAAATAGAAGCCAGTGGGCTGGCTGGGTTCTTTTGTACACAGGTTTGACACATATTTTGAAATAAGAAATATCACAAAATCACATGGATCGAAGGCTCTCATATGAGGTGCAAAAACAGTGCAAAGTGCAGAGTCCCTGCCCTCAGGGAGCTTACATACTAACAGATACCAAACTGACAAATTCCATCAGTTATCACCCATGTTTTTATTTCTCTTTCTTTTGGAAAGGTGTTCGTGTGATGGTAGATTCTACATCTCACTTTCACATAACAGAACAAAGCTGCCTGGGGAGGGTGAAATTGAAAACAGGCTGCGCAGAACAAAAGCAAGGGCTGGCAGACCCACACAGAGAGGCAGGTCTGCGAAAGGCTCCGCTGTGGCTAGTACAAGAGCTATAGACCATAAACAAGGCTTAGAAGGAAGGAGTCCAACAAAAGGAGGGAAATATCTGTGAAGATGGCTAATACTACATGAGCTCACAGTCATATACACTGAGAACCTGTCCCTATCTCCAAATAACTCCTTTTAAACAATTTCCATGTGTTTTTTTCTCACAATACTTGCTTATGCTCTAGATTCACAAATACTGTAAACACTGTGTATTTAACCTATAAAAACACAGAAATATTTTTACTCGAAAAATATTTTTAACTACCAAATACAGATTTCATTCTAGCCATTAAATCTCTGTTGGCAGGATTTTATTTCTTTACCCATGTGAATTCAGTGAAAACTTATACTATGCTCACCTTACACTGATTAAAACTAGATTTCCCAAAGTCCCTTCACACACAGAATTTCATTGGAACCAGATTCAATCAGAACCCTGGTAAAACAGACACTCACTTTGTGACACTGCTAATACATTTTTTTCCCCCACTGCCATCTTGAAGCTTTATTTCTGATGAAGGAAATACTTTTTTCCTCTGTTTAGATGAGAGTCCTCTAAGACTCCAAAAGCATATTCTGTTACAAAGAAGTTTTTGTTAAGCAAAACTGCTTCAAATTAGATCAGCTAAAAATTAAGTCCATTTTGTCCAAGCCAGTCAACACTTTGTCACTTAGAGTAAAGGGACATTTTATAGAGATTTTTCTGCCACCCAAAAAATAGTTCCATTACTGGGTATTATTCTTGATTCTTAGAGAGATGCCAAAGCCATTACAAAGAATTAGTCCTTCTCTCTCTTCCCCCTCGTAGAAGTGAGAACCATCATCAGATGGGGAAAGAAGCTGATGGTAAGCCAAAGGAAGGCAAAATTATGGAATGCAGGTCAGGTCTCTCTTCCTGTATACAATTTCTGAGGATACAAAGGGCTTCCAAAATTTTATAAGGAGTAGATTATACTCAACCACCTGTTTAGGTATATTGGAGACTAAAAATAGGCGGCCTTTCTTGGTCTGCAATCTCAGACTGACATGAGCGTGACTTAGGAAGACCGAGTCCTCAAAGTCAAACATAGAAACGACCCATTCAGTTACAGACCCTCACTAAGGAACCACATTTTGCCCTCATCAATTTTATAAAGAGAATCAAACTCTTGCAGCACCACATTTCAATCCAGCCCAGATTTGAATAGATTTTGGGGTAGAGGATCCTGCCAACCTATCCCTACTCTGCATGAATCCTAGTATCAGGCCACTGCCGGCAGCCTCTCAGTGATTCTGGCAGGTGCCCTGCATGACTCTCCAAGTCAAGGGAGAGGTGAATACAGACAAGGAGAACCTTGACAGCCTGGTTGGAAGGAAGGGAAGGTACGTCCCATGTGCTCTGAGCAGCTGCAGGAGCAGAGCTGAGCAAAGCCTCTTCAGCTGTCTCTGGGGTGAGGCTGGGAGCAGCAGATCCCCACATGTATTTTTAGATGGAACCTCCTCAATGGCATAATGAGGTTCTTCTTTTAAAAGGAAATCACCCAGGGCAGTACAACTCCCCTGATGAATCTGGGCTGTGTCAAAATGAAAAACATATGTGCACATTCTGAAAATAGAAACCCAGGATTAGATAAAGTAGAATTAGAGAAGGGAAAATAATTACTGGTGCTGGTTAAAAAAAAAGAATGTATATATTTAAAAACTGTACTGCTTCCATATATCTTAATTAACCAAAATATACTGTTACAAAGAAATTCTGAGACACTTTAATCCTCCAATCTCTAGCTATAAAAGATATTTTATCTTGTGCATATAAGGCCTGATGCAAGTAGGTTTTTACCACCGGAATATAATGGAAAATATGCTCCTTACATTCTTATCTCAGAAACCTTTAGGGAATTTAATATGCGGCTTATAACTATACATACAACAGTGTAATTAAGTTCTGAGAAATTACCTAAATCTATTTTCCACATTGTTTCTCTGTATTTAAAATATATTGAAATAATTTTTTAATAAATTAATTCTGACCTGAACTAAAGTGTATGATGACCTAGGTCAAGAATCTTTTGGCATTTCTGCCATTAACCACACCATCAAACCGTGCATGTGCCAGATTCTAGTTTCCTGAGTTATTTTCTCAGTTGATGCAGGACTTGTTCTCAAATGAACTGCAGGGAGCCTTTTCCAAAAAAACAAAAAATGTTTAAAAATTCTTACAAAACTGTATTCCAAACAATATTCAATAACGTTATATAAAAAATGAGGAAAGATATCATTTGGGGCAGGTACAAAGCTTGCCTAGGTAATAGAGCAGTATAACCCACCAGCTATTCTTAAAGGCCTTGTCCTAGGAACAGTGTCACTACTATATGTAAAATAGGCTACCATATTTATTCTCTTTTTTTTTCTAATTAAAAAAAATATATTAAGTCCCCTCTAATACATTGCCTTCATTTTATATGACCACTATATGCTTCAGGGACTATGTTCAGGCTCATTGCAAAGGCCTGCATTCTCACTTACAAGCTGTAGGAGATCCTGACGGGTCATGAGAACTGAGCACATCTGTCAAGGCAGACTCTCCACACGCTTCCTCAGATGACTGACTTGCATCGCCTATCTGTGAGGCCTTCACTGCAACCTGCAGGCTCTCAGCTAAGGAGGAGGAGGAGAACAAAAGTTAATTTTAAATATCTCTATATACATATATATATATAGTTTAATCTAGATCAGGAGTTGGCAAATTGTATCTGGCCTGTGTCTGTTTACATATGGCTCAGGAACTAAAAACAGTTTTTACATTTTTTAAATAGCTGTTAAAATACACACACATGCACAGGTGCACAAAAAAGAATGTGTCCCAGAGACTCTATGTGGCTTGCAAGGCCTAATATATTTGCTTTCTGGCTCTTTACAGAAAATGTTTGCCAACCTGCAACTAATTCAATACTTTCAACATCATTTTATGATAGAAAGTTAATTCAATAAAAAAAACACTCCCTGTATAAAAGTATCTCAGATGAAACTTTCAATAAACTAGTGTGCTGAAAAATTTCCTATAATTCAATTAATTTAAATATGATATCAAGCATTAGGATTTTAAAACTTGCTATTCAGAAGTATTACTTGCTTTTCAAAAGAGTATTGCCTCAAATGTGCCTTAAAAAAAGATGCTCGGTACTGACCCTAGACCTACTGGATCAGATTCTCCAGGGGAGAAAACAGGAGATTTGCATTTTAAACAAGCACCAAAGGCTACTCTTAGGATCTGGTAAGATGGAAAACACCCCACACTAAGAAATCTTGTGAAATTTTTATTTACAATAAATGCTTTTCAAGTAGCATGATTTTGAGGCCCCTACAAGTATTTCTAAACACTCTGTCTAGATTCTGGGAAAAAAAGATGGCAGCATAGGAAGGCAAGGCAAAAAAACCTCCTCCCAAAATCACATAGGACATGAAAATACAACAAATACAGATAGGCCTGAAATCACCCTGAAGACTGCAGAACTGACCACCTACATTGGGGAAGAAGAATAAACCCTACAGGAAAGGGTAAAGTGACAAAGCCATGATCTGGTGGGACATAAGCCCTCCCCCAACCCCAGCCCACAGGTGGGAGGAAGAGGAACACAGTGGGGAAGAAGTATAAGCCCAGGACTGAACACCTGGCCCTGGAGATCTGCTCCTGGAACATGAGCCCACATTGAATGGTGCCCTGGTGATGGGTGGGGCTGGACAAGAGATGGTCAGAACACTTGAAGAGGCTGAGATCCCAGCCAACTGTGGAGAACTAGAAGCTCTACTGGCCTCCCCTGAGAAAGAAAGCAGAGCGGGCAGTTTGAAAGACTTCCCAGCAATGAGAGGGGCACCAGAGGGCAAGAAGTGCACAGTACTCTCTGTTTAGGAGAAAGGTCAGGTGGACAATACTTCCCCAGCCTGCCTGTAGCCCAACAGGTTAGGAGCCCTCAGGAGCTTCAGATGCTCCATCCCCCTCACTGGCAAAACAGCACAGAGACTCCTCAAAGTGACATGCAGCCTGTTGGATGGCAGTTAAACCAAACTTCATTCCCTGTTAGGTAGGGGGTGAACCCCCAGCCTGCTCAGCCCTACTTTGGGCTAGCCAGGGAGCTGCACGAAAGAGCCAGCCCCAGCAGCTCTTTCATCCTGGCAGGTGCTGGTCCTGTTTGCCAGTGTCCCCCTCACCCTGCCCAATCACAGCAGGTGGGGCAGGGCAGCCCCAGCCATGCAGCCAGTCTGTGTAAGCAGCCCAGTCCCATGATCTCTTTCCTCCTAGCAGGCACTGGTCCCGATCACCTGCACCCCCACCACTGTGGCAGGCCATTGGGAAGGCAGCCCCACCCACTGGCAGCTCCACACAGTATTCTCCCCACTCCCATTATCACCTGATGGTCCACAGAGTCCACATGAAATCAGAACACCATGAGCAAGGCAGACAATTGCCACACTGACTGAACTACAACAGCTGGGGCTCCTGCACAGGAAATTGAGTTTTTGGGCACTAGAGGGCACCTCCTATGCAAACATATTATCCCATAAAAAAACACTTTAAAAAAATGAAGAGACAGAGGAATTTGGTCCAAAAAAAAATACAAGAAAAAAAGGCAAGAAAGAGAGCTTAGTGAAGCTGAAATCACAAATCTCTTTGATAAAGACTTCAAGATAAAAATAAACATGCTCATGGAGCTATAGAAAAATAGTCAAGGTATCAGAGAGGACTTCAAGAAAGGGATAGAAACTTTGAAAAATACAGTATCTGAAATGAAACACCCAGTGGAGGGATTTAAAAGTAGGTTAGATGAGGTAGAGGAGATGGTAAGTGAAGTAGAATTTAGAGAACAGGAAAACAAAGAAGCTGAGGTACAGAGAGAAAAAAGCATTTCTAGGAATGAAAGAATATTCAGAGAACTGTGCAACCAATCCAAACAGAACAATATTCACATTTTAGAGGTACCAGAAGAAGAAGAAAGAGAAAAAGGGATGGAAAGTCTCTTTGAGGAAATAATTGCTGAAAACTTCCCCACTCTGGGGAAGGAAATAGTCTCTTCAGTCATGGAAGTGCAGAGATCTTCCAACACAAGGGACCCAGGAAAGACAACACCAAGAAATATAATTAAAATGGCAAAGATCAAGGACAAGGACAGAGCATTAAAAGCAGCCAGAGAGAGAAAAAAGATCACATACAAAGGAAAGCCCATTAGGCTATCAGCAGACTTCTCAGCAAAAACCTTACAGGCCAGAAGGAAGTAGCATGTTATAGTTAATGCAATGAAACAGAAGGGCCTCCAACCAAGAATACTATATCTGGAAAGATTTTCATTTAAATTTGAAGGAGGGATTAAACAATTTCCAGGGAAGCAAAAGTTGAGGCAATTTACCTCCCTCAAACCATCTCTACAGCATATGTTAAAGGGACTGCTCTAGATGGAAGTGCTCCTAAGGCTAAATAGCTGTACCAGAGAAAATAAACCCACAGTAAAGGAAGCAGACCAATTAATTACTAACCAAATGCAAAATTAAATCAACTACCCACAAAGTCAGTCAAGAGATACACAAAGAGTACAGAATAGCAGAATAGCACACCTAATACATAAAGAGTGGAGTGGAGGAGGAGGAAGAAAAAGAAGGGAGGAAAAAAAAGAACCTTTGGACTGGGTTTGAAGTAGTGTAATAAGTGAGTTAAGTTGGACTGTTAGATAGTAAAGAAGCTGCCCTTAAACCTTTGATAACCACAAATATAAAGCCTTCAATGGCAGTAAGAACATATCTATTGAAAATCACCCTAAATGTAAATGGACTGAATGTACAGCTGAAAAATTTCCTATAATTCAATTAATTTAAATATGATATCAAGCATTAGGATTTTAAAACTTGCTATTCAGAAGTATTACTTGCTTTTCAAAAGAGTATTGCCTCAAATGTGCCTTAAAAAAAGATGCCCGGTACTGACCCTAGACCTACTGGATCAGATTCTCCAGGGGAGAAAACAGGAGATTTGCATTTTAAACAAGCACCAAAGGCTACTCTTAGGATCTGGTAAGATGGAAAACACCCCACACTAAGAAATCTTGTGAAATTTTTATTTACAATAAATGCTTTTCAAGTAGCATGATTTTGAGGCCCCTACAAGTATTTCTAAACACTCTGTCTAGATTCTGGGAAAAAAAGATGGCAGCATAGGAAGGCAAGGCAAAAAAACCTCCTCCCAAAATCACATAGGACATGAAAATACAACAAATACAGATAGGCCTGAAATCACCCTGAAGACTGCAGAACTGACCACCTACATTGGGGAAGAAGAAAAAACCCTACAGGAAAGGGTAAAGTGACAAAGCCATGATCTGGTGGGACATAAGCCCTCCCCCAACCCCAGCCCACAGGTGGGAGGAAGAGGAACACAGTGGGGAAGAAGTATAAGCCCAGGACTGAACACCTGGCCCTGGAGATCTGCTCCTGGAACATGAGCCCACATTGAATGGTGCCCTGGTGATGGGTGGGGCTGGACAAGAGATGGTCAGAACACTTGAAGAGGCTGAGATCCCAGCCAACTGTGGAGAACTAGAAGCTCTACTGGCCTCCCCTGAGAAAGAAAGCAGAGCGGGCAGTTTGAAAGACTTCCCAGCAATGAGAGGGGCACCAGAGGGCAAGAAGTGCACAGTACTCTCTGTTTAGGAGAAAGGTCAGGTGGACAATACTTCCCCAGCCTGCCTGTAGCCCAACAGGTTAGGAGCCCTCAGGAGCTTCAGATGCTCCATCCCCCTCACTGGCAAAACAGCACAGAGACTCCTCAAAGTGACATGCAGCCTGATGGATGGCAGTTAAACCAAACTTAATTCCCTGTTAGGTAGGGGGTGAACCCCCAGCCTGCTCAGCCCTACTTTGGGCTAGCCAGGGAGCTGCACGAAAGAGCCAGCCCCAGCAGCTCTTTCATCCTGGCAGGTGCTGGTCCTGTTTGCCAGTGCCCCCCTCACCCTGCCCAATCACAGCAGGTGGGGCAGGGCAGCCCCAGCCATGCAGCCAGTCTGTGTAAGCAGCCCAGTCCCATGATCTCTTTCCTCCTAGCAGGCACTGGTCCCGATCGCCTGCACCCCCACCACTGTGGCAGGCCATTGGGAAGGCAGCCCCACCCACTGGCAGCTCCACACAGTATTCTCCCCACTCCCATTATCACCTGATGGTCCACAGAGTCCACATGAAATCAGAACACCATGAGCAAGGCAGACAATTGCCACACTGACTGAACTACAACAGCTGGGGCTCCTGCACAGGAAATTGAGTTTTTGGGCACTAGAGGGCACCTCCTATGCAAACATATTATCCCATAAAAAAACACTTTAAAAAAATGAAGAGACAGAGGAATTTGGTCCAAAAAAAAATACAAGAAAAAAACGCAAGAAAGAGAGCTTAGTGAAGCTGAAATCACAAATCTCTTTGATAAAGACTTCAAGATAAAAATAAACATGCTCATGGAGCTATAGAAAAATAGTCAAGGTATCAGGGAGGACTTCAAGAAAGGGATAGAAACTTTGAAAAATACAGTATCTGAAATGAAACACCCAGTGGAGGGATTTAAAAGTAGGTTAGATGAGGTAGAGGAGATGGTAAGTGAAGTAGAATTTAGAGAACAGGAAAAC